CATTGAATACAATAACTGATTTTTAGTGTTATTTCAATTTCCCTTTTAATCATTCGTTCGAATATTATTTGTTTTAAAAATGGAAGATATAAAGAGGTATACTGCAGTAACAGAGGATGATTCTAGTGATGTAAGTATATAGATTCCTACTAAAAGTATAAAATACATTTTTTTTTAATATTTTGCTATTATTTAAGTTTACGGAAACTGATGTAGAAAAAGGTAAAAATATAAAAAGTAAATCTAAGGTCACAGCAAAAAGAAAAACAAAATCGTCGAAATCAGTATCGCCGTCAAAAAAAATTAAACCAGTGAAAGTACGTTTTAAAAAACCTTAATAAAATATGTTTTTTTTTTTTTTAATCCATTTTCATTTATAGTTGAAATCGTATATGGATAAAATCGAAAAATTCATTGAAAATGAAAATACGAGTGTACTTGATGAAAATGTGAATTTAATGACAGTTAAACAGGATGGATATAATTTCACATTCAAATGTCCGGTAAATAATGGGAAGGATTATTGGGTATTGCAGCATTACAAAATGAAAGACATTAAAGATATACCGGTTAATGATAGGTAAGAAATATACAGTTAAATCATAAATAAAATAATTTCGTGACTCAATATATCATTTCATTATCACATTCTTAATTTAAACTTCTATTATAAGTTTTGATTAAACAATATCAATTATAAAATAATATTTTGTATTATTAGGTGGAAACATTCAAACTGTTCAATTAAAGTATATACATCAAATGACAATACTAGAGATGTGAATATTTCAAATGAATTCACAAATTTGATTGAAATAATAGCAGGAAGATTCACTTCTGATCCGGATAAAAAAGTTACTAAACGAAAAAATGAAAAAACATGATTGTTGTAAATATTTGTAACAAATTGTTTGAAAAAAAAAAATAAAAAATAAAAAGTATAGTAACAATTTTTTTAATTTTTTATTATATTGATAACAAACCTATAATAATACACACACACTTAAAATATTTATAAATATTAATATTAATATTATTTTTAAAACCGAAAATACAATATAGAAAAAAGTTTTAGAATTATTTTAATTCAAAAATAAAATATTAATTAGTATAACGTAAATCAAAAACTAAGGTTAATATAATAATTTTGAACAATGAATTCAACAATTATTCATATCTTTAATGTTTAATTGATAAAGTTAAACGTATTGTTTGGATAATAAAAAACTGAATCGAGACATATTAGTTGTACATTTCTTTTAGTATCATATCTGTTATTTTTTCATAGTGGAACTGTTGTAACTCAAGAATAAAATATTTATCTTCACAGCGTACATTACTAAAGTTGAATTCATAGTTTTGAATATATGCATTTACTAATTCTTTCTTTTGACATGTGATTGGTAAATCGGTAATATCTTGTTTGATTATTGATAAAACTAAATCGAAACATGTTTGATACAAATTTAACTGTTTTTGTTTTGTAAGAATACATGCATTAACACAATGTTGTAACTGTTTCAAACGTGATAAATTGAAGCGAGATAATGTTATACGATTTTTATCGACTCTTAATGTAATAGTTTCATTATTTGCATTAATTGAATAAAAAATATCATCGATTAATACATTTGGTTTAGAATGAGTATAAAGTCTACTAAGAATTGTGTTAAAATTAGATTCAGACATTATGTAATTCCATTTTTCTTCGTCTAATTTCAAAGACTGTTTTGTTAATTCACATTCGAGTAGAATAACAATTTTAATTTGATAATCAACTAAAAATCCAATTGAAATTCTTTTTTTGTTATTAAAAGGTTGAATACTAAAAACTGATTTACATACTACTGTTGAAATCATTATATTTTAATATTATGATGTATAATATAATTAAAAAAAAAATATTAACAACCAAATTCATCGTGAAAACGTTTTGGTGGTTTTGAAATCCTTGTAGACTTCCTTATAGATTTAGTTTTATTTTGTAAATTATATTTTAATAACATAATTTTTTTCACATTTAAATGTTTAAAATCGACACTAATAAAAATATTCGAAGGAAACATAACTTAAAAACAAAACATATGTAATTACTTGCTGACTATTATCAGTATACTAAATGTATCTACTTATTCTAGGAATAAAAATTAATACATTTTTTTAAAAATAAAAAAATATATTATTTACTAGCGACATCTAGTTAGTTGAAAAAATAATTTAACTGTAACAGAAAAATGGTTGAAAATTTATTATTTTATCGTTAACTAAAAAAGCTATATAAAATATAATACAGGTAACTTTTGATTGAAGAAAAAATATATAAAAATGTTAAATTGAAAAAAATTATAAAAATGTTAAATTGGGGAAAATATAGTTCTAAAATAAGATAAATTTACCGTGGTAAAATTAAATGAAAGAAGCCAAAATCGTTGTTAAAAAAGAAGCCAAATCTCGTAAATTTACCGCAGCAAAACTACCTCGAAAAAAAAAAACTGAAAAAACCATGGTTGGAAGCCCCATAATACTACTACTATCATTAAATATGAGCTGGTCGAGAGATAGTTACAAATACAGAATTCACAGAATTATTATATTTTTACTATCAATTTCACATACACACACTAACTTGGGATTTATACACACATTTTCATATATCAGATATAAAAGGCACCCGAAAACAAGGGCTAATCAGACGAGTTTTAGCTATGCGGCACTAAGCACCTTCACGCTAGTGTATGTCATGGCCTGGACTTGGAAACATTTTGAACTATTTTTATAAAGTATAATTGTTAGGACTTGGAATATTTACATTTATTATAATTTATTGCACTTAGAATAATTTTAACAGTTTTAATAAATTACTTTATCACAACTGGCTTTCATTATTTCTTCATTATCCTTACATCCAAGCGTTGACTAGATTACTAGTACTGAAATTAACGAGCAAACGGTTGGCACGCACCATTATAAACATTACAAATTTATATTTTTATATTCGAATGTGTTAATAAATTTCCGTTAAACGATTTTAGTTATCATTAAAAACATTTCATAGTTTCAAATCATTGTAAATTAATCATTATTTTATAAGATTCATAGGCATTTAAAATGTTTAATTCTATTTTAGATGTATTTTTCTAGGAAAGTTTGAACAATATTAGTTCAATCTACTTTTTAAGGAAATTCGGTTCTTCGACCATATCAATTATCCTTGGAAATACAAACTCAACCACACGCCATGTTTAATTCGGAATCGTTTTCTTCCAGTGCACTGGTTTCAAATTTGTAAGCCCGATTCAGCAATATCGTCTACCAGACCTAGGGGTTTAGTCCTTATTTTTATTTTGTTTTCTCGGTCCGCAAATGGGATACAGGTACACGGTTTTCGCGATGCTACACCATTATGCGCTGTGGTGTCGCGTGAACGATCGAGAGTACGTATCACTCGCATAGTCGTAATATATATAATAATTCCGGCCCAAAGTGTCTATTACGCGCACGCCGCGGATAGCGCGAGACTGGGAGCGACTGCAGCGAAAATTTTAAACAATAAATGGGCACCGGTGATATTGGACCCAATCGCTAAACTATGCATTACCATTATACGTTCCGTAGTCTGTCCAGCGCGCGCGTGTACTACGATTCAAGGCTCCTTAAGGGCAATACCGCAATGCTCAATAGGATTCGAACGGACCGACGACGTTTTACACGGGCACCGCTGTAACGGGCCAAAATGTTATGGAAATTGTTGCGCCGAAGTCGTTACAACTATTTACCACGGTCAAATCCTGCAGTAGGCGCACGGGTGGGCACAGGCCCGTGACGCGTACGCATTGTAATATCATAGCTATCGTGTGTATCCGCCGCATTCGTGTTCGAACGACACGTGCAGTACAATATAATATTTGTGAACCCTTGACGTGTTACGCGGGCATGGGGTTCGTTAATTAATAATATTCAAAATAATACGGTACGCGCGCATGCGAAATTTAACCTATCGCTTCCGCCACCGACCCTCTGGCAGTCCTGCGTGCGACCTACATACTCGTGTGGAGCACCTGCGGCACCACAGCCCGGCGCGCAAACTTTGACGTGAAAACGACACCGGGCGTCAAGTAGTGACCGAAAAATATTTAGCAAGTGGAAAATTACATACCAGGAGGGGAGGACTAAACGTTCTTATCTTTCCAAGAGCACTACGTGTTTCTAAAGGCCTATCCTGCGTACAATGCATTCCAACGGTATTGCATCAGTCATCACGAATGAACAATAATTATATCACAATGCATGAAGGGGCCGGAAACGACTTCGCGCTATATTGCTTGCCGATTTTTGAGCGTAGGATTCGAAATTTGCGATAGAAATATTATAATACTGAAAAGCCTAAGCACTCTGAACGTAATCGTCTCGTAACGGATTTTTCAAACGTGACCACATATCTTTTGTCTATGAATCCTCGTCGTGTGTGTGTGTGTGTGTGTGTGTGTGTGTGTGTGTGTGTGTGTGTGTGTATGTCTATGTGTATTGTCATATGACATAGGTTTTCGGGCTACGGTGGCAGCATGTGCGCGCATTTACGCAAACCACACACACACACACACACACACACACACACACACACATACGCGCGCGTATGCGCCCGCTAGCAAACTACTGCTTCGTGCGCGCGCGCACGCATCACCAGCTAAGGGACCCCTGGCCGGGATGCCCGAGCAGCTGGGGCGTACGTACCATAAATTTTGACCCAGTGACAGTTGTCCGTCCCCGCCCTGCCGCTCGCACCGGTTTCCTTTTCCCGCCGTCGACTCGCGCCATCCTTTTCCTTCCACAGCGCGTATAAATGTGGCTTACACATTATATAGTACATACATATATATATATATATATATATATACAAATATTTGACAAATATTTGCGTGTGTATATCGTAAATATACACACACATGTATTGTTTCTCTTTGTCACTCTGCGAGCGTTCTGCGACCGTCCTCCTATTCAAA